TGGGTTATATCGCGTAAATATAAATGTGTCGTTTAATCAGTCACCACCCGACAGAGTAGGGTTTGTCACGTAAACAGAACATGTCAATTCGTTACTAGTACAGCACACCGGTGTTTTGGAGAGCAAATCCACAAGATTGTAAATGTTGTGGATTTGCTCTCCAAAACACCGGTGTGCTGTACTAGTAACGAATTGGCATGTTCTGTTTACCTGACCAACCTTACTAATTGGCTGTGTCGGGTGGTGGCTGATTTAACGACACATTTATATTTTATGAGATATAACCCAAAAAAAACCTTTATTATGGATGATATTAGTCACAAAAGCCTATGTGTTAAACCAAATATCAATCGCCACAGTGCTACTTTTGGGCAGTAAATGAACTGCTGTGATACGCGTAAAATAACAGCATTAACAGAGCGCAGAGCAGCGAACTTAATGACCTTTCTATTGCCGTTGCTTTTTTTTGCGTTTGAAAGTAGAAAAATTCGTGATAAGGTGACTGTAAACATGGACAAAGTTTTTCAATGTCATACAATTATATGTTATGCTTCTTTTCCCAATGCTATCTTCTATTGCCACATTCAATTCCAAGTAAACCATGCCAATGGGTATCATACCCAAATATTCGCTTGCCTAAATGTCAAGGTTGGTGCGAAGTAGCCGATGATGATGATGGGGGAAACACATTTTTAAAGGTGGCTCGCTGCGTATGACCAGCGCGTTTTGTGTCCATTGCTTAAATGAAGTCATCGGGCTCAGCAATCACAAATGCTTGTATCGACAATAGAAAGTGCATCGCCCACTTAGAGCCACGCATGTTCAGGCTTTGTATTTCATGGTCGGTGGTAAAACACCGCCCCCCCCCCACCCCTTTTTTCGGGTGGTTTCCACTCCATCGTTCACTCTGTCATTTATTGGCAGTACACATCTGCAACGTGAATTTTGCATCGTGAGCTCGAAGTGAGTGTTGTGCAAATCATATCGCTTCATACAATAACACTGGCTGAAAGAACAAAAACGTATAATTGACAACGATTCAGGCAATGGCTCTTCTTCATGACAAAATTCAAGCTCGTGCACCACTGCCAGCGCAGCATCACCACGTGACTTGTTCATTTCACATTATTCACCTGTCACGTGATTGCTCTGGTTGGGGTTGGTGGATTGGCTAAAGAGGGGTGTTTTAATCCCCAGTAGACTCGTGACACTCGACACCATCATGCATTTGGGATTTAGATAGCATCTGCAACTGCATCTGATATATACCGGTATTGTTCAACGAGACCTGAAGTATGTGTAGAGATAATACCAACTGCTTACCCAGGGGAATCTGACATCCTGCATTTATATCGGTGTTTGGCCAGTCCCGTATCTGAGGAAAGCCGTACGCCTACAACACCTGGCATGCCCTGAAAATCAACCATCCAAGTACCAACCAGGCTTGGCTTTCCTCATCCAATGATAATGGAAGAATTAGGGAAATTTTGTTGAAGGCTAGAGGGTCGTGCGTGGGTCAGCGGCAACGGTTGTTGCCTCCCCGACTGCGTAGGCTTTCGCGGTTGTACCGCGTAGATTTTTTTAATGTCTTTTCAGGTTGTACCACCGTGTTGTTCGACTTGATGTACGACGTTTCGCTCCAAGTGTCGTGAGCTTTAGCACGCGGAGTGAAACGTCGAGCATCATGCTGAACGGTTCATTGTACAACCCGGGAAAAGAACGCAATTGTAGAGCTGTAACAGTTGCATATTTTACCCAGCAGAGTGGTTAAATGGCTTATCGTGGACTAAACTGAAACTAAGCTATTTTTAATTTTAGCAGGTAAGGCCCACTGAGCTAGATAGCTTTTTTTCAGAAGTGACCTGGCCACAAATGAGAGCTCAGCGAAGTGGCTTATCATGTGAACATTTACAGCAGCCAACCACTCGAAACGCACGTTTCTAAATGTGGAGGGGAAAACCGGAGGACCCAGAGAAAAATCCACATGACCATGGCGAGAACATGCAAATTCCAAATATACAGGCGTCAGGGTTGGGATTGAATCCTGTATAATAAACGAGGTAGTTAACATCTCGCCACCGTGGCGCCCCAAATTAATGTCGATATAACAAAATTAACAAAAACAGCAACAATGTACAACCCTGTTTTTCTCTGAAAAAGGAAATTAAACTGTAAAGTGCAGTTTGTTGTGATGATACTTTTACTGCCACCTGACAATAATATGTATTCTGTCCACAGTATTGTCTCTCTGAGCATCAAGTAAAATGCCTTTTAGGGAACTGTCCATATAACCTTTAAACTAATAGAATTCATAAAAGAAGATAATTAACTAAAAGCACTTAGACCTTTTTGTGCTACCATTGCAACAGCAGAGTAATGCTGCATGAAGCTTTTTAGGGTAATTAATGAAGCATTATTATAAACTCGCCTATTGCCCGTCCAAGGACAGGTGTATTGCAGTAAATCTGAAACTTGCAAGCTAAAAGCAGACCGCGACGTCATATTCATTGCATCCATTCGTGTGCAATTTGTAAGGGCGCCGTGACACAGACTTATTTCATTTAAGTGTTATAATTCCGTGACGTCCTTTTAACTTCTATATCTCAATATCATTACGGAGATCACGTGACGTGGGGGTTCTGCCTTTGTGGTGAGGGTTGTAAGTTGACGCTGAGGAGGGGGGAGGAGGCGACTCGCCACTCCATGCGGAGTGACGTCAGCCGCTCATGAATATTAATGATGAGGGGTCCATGTGGAGGACGTAACCTGTTCATGATTATTAATTAGGGGGGCTGGTCGACGTGGAGTGACGTCACACGCGGGACACACAGACATTATTGGGTAACTATCGTAGTAATTTCCATGGAATGTGGCAGTTTTTTTCCTCCTGATATTTACTAATGCAGCTCATTCACATAGAACAACAATGAATGATATGGGAAATGTAAATAAATAAAAATTTGATAGCAACCAAACAAATGTTGTGTATTCAGATTTATAATGTCATCACACACGAGGGCAACGTGGCATTTCATTTCAGAAAAAAAAAATTATCTTCAGAATGTCTCGACTTTCCAGTAACATACCATAAGTGCAACGTTTTTATAGTGTGCTGTGTTAGATCACAGTACACAGTCATATACACGATCAAAAGAGATTCTTCGCTTGTGTACAGCACATATATATATTCGGCGAGGCATTTTTTCGCGGCAATTTGTGGATCAGCTGCATAGGCAGGAACCGTGAATGTAATAATAAATATGCAATTACTCTGCCTAATGACGAACGTCATCGAGTGAGGAGGGAATGGCGAAACATAGGCAGATGGAGTCTCCAGCTTTAAACATAAATTGCTACCAGTGATTGCCTAGTACAAAGAGCGAGGGTTGGATTTAAAGACAAGAAAACGAAAGGGCGATCAAAGTAAATGGAAACAATCTCGAGACAAATGCGAGCTCCACCTCGATTACATTTTTTTTTTCTTGGGGTAGGTTAAAGAGGCCCCAAAAATAGATAAGCTGAAATTAATAGCCTTATTTAAATCGTTGCACCACACTTTCTCGCTTTCTTCCAAAACAGCAATGAATTTGGATTGGACTCGTGACGTTCTTTCTCTCACTGTCAGTGACACTGGTCTATGCCACGGAGCCGCCACAGAAGGCGTTCCTTGCAATTTAAAGTACCAAATAAAAATGTAGGTTTAAAACACGGCCTTCAAGGAACAATCTGCAATGTCTCGTTTTGCAGGGCAATTTTTTGTAAATTTGTTTTCGTGTTACTTCCGCTGTGTTGCTGAAACAAATGAAATGCCACCTTGAGCTCGACGGTTTGAAAACATTAAAGAATGAGAATAGGTTTCACCCTTTCTGGCAATAAAACAGGAGGTGTTAAGATGTTCAAATACCAAATAGATACGTTTTTTACAAGGAATCATGTCTGCATTAACCACACGTACTTGTGATGAACATGCAAACACACATGCTCTGATTATATATGTATGTTTTTTTTAAACTGGTTGGTGTATACCAGAGACAGCCTTCTTTATGGCCTAGTCTCACCAGTATCAGACCAGAGAACACCAGAAGACGAACAGTACAAAGACGATGCCACACGTATCAGATCATTTATAGCTCGGGGTGAGCAGCTATAGCATGGGACCGTTTTGCCAATATCAAAGTATGAAAAAAATAATAATAGGTGTTATCTTTTCTGGCAATAAAGCAGGCGTTAAGATGTTCAAACGCCAAATAGATACCTGTACTTCTTGGTTCTTTCGGTAAAGTCACGTAGAATGGAAATAATAAAATAATAAAATAAACCAACAAGATGAATCCCTGCAGTCACGAAAGCTTTAAATCGAAAGATACCTATACTCGTTGGTTCTTTCGATAAAGTCACGTAGGTGTAAATAAATATATATAAATACCCAACGAATATGGATTCTTGCAGTCACGAAAACTTCAAATCTAGAATAAATAGAAACCCTTTTTACTTCATTCCTTGCAAAAGGTTTCTATTTGGTGTTTGAATATCTTAACACCTTCCTGTATTATTGCCAGAAAGGATAAAACCTGTTCTTATTTTTGTAACGGTTTCAAAACTATATTCTGTCACAGTTCCTATGATCACTGTTTCATTGCTTTCATGGCTTTATTTTGGTGATTTCGAAAAGTGTATTGGTTTAGCCATGTTTGTTTGTTGTAGTACAGAGTTAGACTGATGGCCTAAATCTAAGTTGTCTTGTGGTTGTTGTTGTTTGACTTGCATCCCACTGGGATTTTTGCACACAGTGTTGGTGTACGGTGATTTTTTTTCTGCAATATTTTGCTGTCTTTTCTTGGATTTTCTGTTTGCACTCAGTCACATATTCACTTTAAGATGTTTTTTGTTTGTTGCGGTTGCACCCGATTCAAGAGCCGAATAGCTCACAGGGCTATACCTAATAAATTAACTTAAACTTGTGACGTGTCACACTGGTGGTCTCGTGTGTGCCTGGACAGAGGCTGGCCAGGACTGCAGAAGAACTTCAGAGAGCGCACCAGTGGAGCGACAACATCAAGGTGAGGGCTGGCGATGGGCTCAAACATCGCCACATCGAGCCACCACCACGGCTACCGTTCACTCCACAGCGCCTCCCTTTATTTTTACCTCTTTACCATTTTATTAACTAAAGAGCGGAATCAATATTTACAGATCTGCTAAAAGCATTGGATCTTGTCCACAATTGATTCATTCTGTGCACTGCGCTCTTTACACTGCAACGGACACTTTTTTTTCAGTGGCGTAATTGATGTTAGTGGCAACAAAGAGGGTTTGATGTGTTAGTGGCATGGCTGGTTCACGCTGGAGGTTTGTTCACAATTAATGGACTCGTTGATTTTATATAATTTTACCGCTATTATGTTGGAATATTTAACAAAATTATTGCCCTTTTCTCGTGGTCAATTAAAAATATTGCAGCTCAGGGAGCGATATTTAAGGGGATCTTCATATATTGGGGTGGATGTTAATGCAAGTGCGCTGATTCAATACTTATTTTCCGACCGAACTGACAAAATGTGAATCTGGAAATTATTTAACATTGCAGACATTAAATAGCGTAATGCTTTTAAATACATTTACATAAAAAAATAACTTAACACATTAAAAAATGTAACAGCACAAATGTTGTATGAGATGAACTGGTCGCACAGCTTATTCGGGCATTATAACTATTTACTTGTGTAAAGGTTTGTAAAATAATGAAAAAATTATAGTTTTGCATCACTGCAGCGATGTCTATGCTCAACTGGTTGTGCTGCATTATGTAGGCGTTACATTTGAATGCGATTTGTTGATCGTGAGGGTGACTTGCTCCCTTTTTGCGTGTTCTGAATTTCCAGCTCTGCATATAAAAATCGGAGTATCTGCTGTTGGGCATGGAAGAGAAAAAAAATATTCCCCACAGTGGAGTAGGTAGGAAGAGGACATGCTGCTAATGTAAATAGCATTTGACAAGTGAATTACGATCTGGCATCAGCACTGGCCACACACCATTAAATTGTTCATGCAGCAGCTGGAGAGCTTTGATAAAGAACAATGTATTTTATGCTTATGAGCAAATGACACTTTCTTGTTAATGAGAGAAGGGGAATTTGACGTGCAAATAAAGGCAGCATTAGAAAATTACCTTGTGTCCCGGATTTATGCATGGCTGGTCTGCGGAAAAGGTCTTCTGTCTCCCAAACAAACACACAAATGGGATCTCGTGTGGAGCTGTAAATTCCGTGCGTGTCACGTTTTGTTTGTGGAAAAGACAATTCAGGTTTTAGAGGGGCGTGTTTTCTCCAAAATCACCAGGCAGGAGCATGTCTTAATGCAAGTGCATTTAATCTATTGTGCTGCCCAACACTTTAATTCTGATTGTGTAGTAATTTGGTTTTTTTTTTAAGGTAAAGGTCTCAAGGTTGATTGTTCGTCACTCCCTCGTAGATGGAGCATTACTGCGGTGTGATCAAATTCCTTTTTACCTCCTTTTTGACGGTGGATGAAAATGGAAATTAAGTGCTTTATAGCGTGGGGGGGGGGGGGGGCGTGTTTATAATTGACTCTAGTGGGTAGATTAGCTGTGGCTGTGAGTGCGATCAGGTGTGCATAAGTGCATCCGCTGCAACCAGAAAAAAAGCTTTTTCATTAACTTATTAAATTAATCCAATTCCATGACAATTCGTGTCGGAAAAGTGGTTTGTCCAATGTGAAATTGAAGAACCATGATAGAATAAAATATATATGTTGAGTTCACTTGAAATGTCATGTTCTTAAAGGTCTAGATTTTATAGCGTGCCTTGTATTTCAATGTGTGATCCTGTAATACTCTTTGGCTCTTTTGGTAAAGTCACGTAGGTATAAAATTAAATTAAATAAACCACGTAACTTTACCGAAAGAACTAAAGAGTATGGAAGCCTGCAGTCACGAAAACTTCAAATCTAGATTGATCCTGTAATGTTAACACGACTTGTTGTTAGCCTTTAGATAGTCAACCAAGGGAACAGAGAATCAGAATGTGTATTTGTACTTGAAGAATCCAATGAGTTATTACACTCTTTTTCACAGATTTTAGGAAGCGTACTTCCAGCTAATTAAATATGCTTACCTATAACTGGAGCTGCGATGCTTATTTTAGACACTCTATCGAGCAACATTGCACATTCAGACCACTGGAGTTTTCATGCTTTATCTTTGCTATTTTTAGCACATTTTTCTTTCTTCCATGGATGCTGCCATGATGTAATGGTTAGTACTCTGAACTTAATACCCAGAGGTCACCAGTTAATTTTCCTGGGAATGGCAGTTGAAGCAAAAGACCAAGTTTCTTAAATCCCTCACCGCCTCTGTCGACCCAGCAGGAGAAATGGGTTCACCACGATCAGTCGATAGGCAGACGCAGAACCGGCCCTAGACCTTTGCAGGCCCTAAGCAAAATTTGGTTGGAGGCCCCTTTGATGTATGATTTTTTTCACCTACGAGCTAGCAGTGACTCTAGGGGGCCCTCTGCTGGCCACGGGGCCCTTTGCAATTGCAAGGGTCGCTTAGTGGCTGGGCCGGCTCTGAGCAGACGGCATAACGGTGGGGTCAATAATGACGACTCCCACCGCTTCCAAGGCATCTGGCCAGCGTGGAAGAGCAGGCCAAAATACACTCTAGAGGGAGCTGTTAGTGGAAGCCCTTCCATCAGCATTGGCGTGAGTGGGCAATTGCAGGGCTGCGCCTTAACCTTTATTGCCTCTTCTTTCCCCATGTCTCAGACAGCTCCTCATTGTGGTGAACGTTTTAAAACAAAAATGCTTAGTGAATGCACAGGTGGCACTTTTATTAACTGTGTTGATCAAATTAAATTATCCATTATTACTTTGTAAAACAATCTTATTCAGTAGCACGAGTATATAATGTGTGTTGTAGCACAACGACAACGTTCAACACACTTTATCAGGATGGGGGTTGGGGAGGGCGTGTTTGAGGGAAATTGCCATACTTATTCAGGCCGATCGTAGAATAAATTACATTTTAGTTATATTCTTGGTTCTTTCAGTAAAGTCACGTAGAAGTGGAAATAATAAAAGAATAAAAAATTTAAACAATAAAACATTTTATTTCATAAAAAATCTATTTTTATTAATTGTAATTGGATGTAAGTTAAGTGCGTGCGCAAGGGGGCTTGATGAGACTGTAAAGTGATCATGCTGCGATTCCCTATCAAGAATCTCTGCAGAGTAATAGAATCCGGTAAAAGTTTAGTTTGAAATTAGCGTGTTCTAATGTGTTCTTCAACGTTACTAATGTCCCTCTGCTATGTCCGATTGACTTTGATGCGATGCATTAACAACTAAAAGTTTTCAGTTTTTGCCAAAGTGTGTTATACGACAAAGAATTTGTCTTCGCGGTTTCAAAGTTCCTGTGGAGGGATTAATTTTTGTTCCCAGATATCGAGTTAACCCAGCAATAAACCACAATGCAGCCCTTTCCATTGTTTACTGCGTAGGAAAGTGCTGGCATGGTTTTTGTATAAGTTTTCTTCACAAAGCATAGTCTAGAGTAAGCCATCAGTTGATAATTGTTTTTTTTAGCCTTCGATCTGGCAACAAAACTGACACCTTTTTACAAGGAGTCATGTTTACATAGACCGCAATACCTGCAGTCATAATACAAACAAAAGACAAAACTCTGATAATGTGCACTGTCCTTGAAGTTGATTGGTCCACACCCGAGACAGCTTTCCTTAGAGCCTAGTCTCACATGGGTTGGACCAGATGACCCATGTGACACTAGGCTCTAAGGAAAGCTGTGGACCAATCAACTTCAAGGACAGTGCACATTATCAGAGTTGTGTTTTTTGTTTGTATTATGACTGCAGGTATTGCGGTCTATGCAAACATGACTCCTTGTAAAAAGGTGTCAGTTTTGTTGCCAGATCGAAGGGTAAAAAACCAATTATCATATTTTTTCTGGCAAATGAGGTTCCCATAAGCCATCAGTTGTTTTGTAGATATGTTTGGTAGCTATGACAATCAATCTCAGGGTAAGTAAACAACAAAGATTGCTGTGAATTTTTATTCCATTTCTGTATTTTTAAACCAAAACTGTTATCCTGCGAAATAAATGTTTGCGTTTGGCGAGAGCTTTCAGCATTTATCTGCTTACACTCAATATTATTCCAGCTCCGTGCATAAACTCACACCTGTCTCCTGCCTTTCAGTCGGATGCCCTCCTATTAATTTTTTTCTAATCCTTTTTCTGCCATTTGTTTTTAAACTGTGTACCAAGTGTTAGTGCAAAGGCCCTCGGTATATGCATTGACTTCTATTTTTGGCTTCTTTAGAATGTTAGTATTTCTGCAATCAGTCACCCTCACAGGCATGCATTTGCTAACCTTGAAGTGGCTCCACTTATATATTCAACTGATTAAGCTGAACCTGACTTGCAGGTCTGATTTATTTTAAAAAGCTGATATGTTTTCCAGATCAGGCTAAAATTATTGTAGCAATGAACAGTAAAAATGTAATGATGCATCGATTCATCGATCAAGATCAATTGCGCTTGCCATTCAGAAATCGAATCATTTGTGAAATGGCTTATTTTTCTTTCGTATGTATGTTGTATTTAATTGGCTTATGTAAACCCGGCAGCCATGAGACGTTACATTGTGCACACATTACAATGGTAAAATAATCATTGCTAAATGAAACAAATAGTGAATAAAAGCATCTTCTTGGTTCTTTCGGTAAAGTCACGTAGAAGGGAAATAATAAAATAATAAAAATAAAACATAATAAAATACAATTCTCACGACGTTTCGGCCACAACGCAAGCAGCCGTCCTCAGGTGAAGAACAGGTCTGTCGGGAAGACAGCGTCTGAATGAAACACCCCAGGCTTGGAGCGTATATTTAAGCTGGGTTGGAGGGGGAAACGTCGTGAGAATTGTATTTTATTATGTTTTATTTTTATTATTTTATTATTTCCCTTCTAAGTGACTTTACGGAAAGAACCAAGAAGATGAATCCCTGCAGTCACGAAGGCTTTAAATCAGTGACTAAAATCCTCACAATTCCTCAATCACGATCGAGGATAATAATTACATTCCAAATAAATAAAAAGTTAAAAGGTAAAAGTTCAGCCCTGCAATAGCCTCCTCGTGTCACTGCTGGTGGAAGACCCGATTATGGAGGGGAACTCTCATGATTCCCTCTGGAGGGTATGTTGGCCTCCTCTTCCACACTCTGCCAGATGACTTGCAAAAGATGGAAATAACCAGTTTACTCCACCACACACGTGACCTGGAAATGAACTAACTGGGACATGCCCATTCATACTGTATTGCTGGGGGGGGGGGGGGCAGAGAGGGGGTTATTTATACGACTTGTCCGTCGTTTAAACTGGTGCGCCAGGAGACAAAACCGTCAACATCGAGATTGCAAGTTTGACGTGCTCATAACAAAAGTTAGTTTGGGTTAGATCGCGTAAATATAAATGTGTCGATAACCCACCATCACCCGACACAGCCGATCGGTAATCAATTGTTATCAAAACCACATTTGTAATGACAATTTGTTTTATTTGGCATATCTCATTGTTAGAATGGCGAAGGGTTATTATTTTTCGATAATTCCATGGTTCTATACTCACCATTTGAGTGACTTTTATTGAGGCGTACACTTCATTGGAAGACGAGGCCTGGATTTCTGAAGATGAGCTGCCAGTTATTGTTATCACTGCTTTGGCTTCCCACGGCACAGGAGACGGAGCGTCTTATACAATGACACGGGAATTCATGCCTCCCTGACAGCCCCTACCATTGGGCTTACTGCGGCACGCCCTGGCTCTCATGCCTATATGTGTGCAGCTCAAACCCCAGGCTTCATCCATCCTCATGAAGTCCAAGATCAGCCCTGATTTATATTTCAAAGGCATCGGCAGAAGTATTTATTTTTTTCAGGGTGCTGAGCAGCATTTAAAAATGTCTTACTATTTTTTATGCAGGAGTAGAAACTGCCATCGTATATCTCATTGCTGGTAATTGTGCAGCATTTTTTTTTGGTTAATTTATATCCAATTGCGCTTTTTTTTTCAAAAAGATGTTTAAATGTTTAAATGGAATTGCTGCTTGAGTGGTTTTTCATTTGTAAAGTTTTGGGTGGCTAGATGGCACATTGGTAACACTCGTGCCGCACAGCAAGAAGGGGCCTGGGTTCGATCCCTGACTGACACATTTCCGCGTGGAGCGTGCACTTTCTCTCCCTCTTCTGCATTGCCTTCCATAGCTAAAATGCGTACACCGCAACTGGTGCGGTATTGGTAAAAAAAAAATCCCAATTCTCAAAAATTGACTTCAAAATTACCTAATTGGAATGACACGTAGCAACATCACATCCGAATTGGAGAGGCTTGACCAGGACCCTCCTTAAAACGAGTCATGAGACTCGGTGAGGATTTCTCGGGTGAACAAGCACAATATTAATAGCACATGCAATGTTTGCATACTATGGAATATACCTTTGCACTATCGAATTTCTAACGATTGCTTCTTGTTTGTAGGAAGAAGATATGCTTTATTATAATGCGAAGAAGGAGCTTGAAGAGGAATATTCAGTGGGCAACGGAGAGCAGGTATAGAGATCTCAATTTCTGTCATTACAGAGTGCATGTTTTTAATGTGTAGCGCTGCTCAGCGGGGAAATGCTAATGAAGTTAAATATAGTTTTAAATAGGCAAGCTCCTGGCTACGATTTAATGTCTGAAAATAAAAATTCAAAGGAATAACGCGGACACTTATTCCTGAAACAGCCATATTGCTGCCATTCCCATGTGTAGTGTCGCCTCCAATCCATCTGGCTAAACCAGCCAGGCATGTTACAGATAACAGTGTTATCATAGCCTCCATCAGGCTTTTAATAAATAATTCTGTTGCAGCCGAAGGTTTGGCGTCCCAGCAGGGAAAAGCTTATCGACCTGCTGTTGTCTACGATATCAGTCAGTGCAAAGGAAGGTGGCAGCCGTTTCTGCATGCTGAAAGTCCAGGGAGATGAATACGATAATGATAATGAGCTTCCAGGCTGTTTTCTGCTAAATGACTGAATATCTTTCCCTGAGGGGCTTATAAGATTTTGACCACTTTCATGTTGCATTTACTTTCACCGCTGGGTGTAAATTGTTTTTTTTTTCACCGTGATATCCTCCGCAAAAAAAAAAAATCACATTTCGGAACAACATTGATTTATTTTAATATTATTTTTAAACGCCAAAAAATTCAAGAAAAACAAGACTTCATTTCATCTGTCAATTATTTAATAAGTGCTGATTGCACTCTTGCACTTGGGGCGGGGGGGAGGGGATAGCAGCACAACGCTCAATGTCGCCAGGATGCCGCAATTGTCAAAAAAAAAGAAAATCACGTGGCTATTTTCATACGCGAGACTGCAGGGCAAGGTGAAATTCGTCATGCCACATTTCCTGCTGGCAATGTCCACTTAATGTTGGGAGCTACAAGCTCAGGCGCAAAAAACGTATTTATTCATCCGCAAGTGTATAGAGGACTGGAGAACACGCATGAATATTGCTTCGTGACTATGTATTAAAAAGTTAAAGGTAAAGACGCAGCCCTGACATTCCTTGCTCGCCGCCGTGACTGGCGGAAGGGGCTCCGTTAAAAGGGCGTATCTCTTCCATGATGGCCCAATATCTCAGCAGAGGTGGAGGCACTGATGCTTTATTGCACCAAATGCGACCTCCTGATCAATTCACTGTGGTGTCCCCATTTATACTGCTGGATGGACAGAGGCCAGGGGATCTTCAGAAACCTGGCTATTGTCATAACTGCCGTGATCGAACAGGCGACCTCTGGATTGCAAGTGCAGTGTGTTAAGGGGCCGTCCATAAATGACGTAACGTACCTAGGGGAGGGGTCAGACATTTGTGACGATGTGTGACGAGGGGGGGGGGGGTGAGAAATGTGACGTCACATCAAAATGCGCAACTTTAAATAAATATAGACAACACGTTCTACTTAATTAAATAGACTTTTTAATAAATGTTTTCTCCTAAAACATCAGAGTGCAGCGCCACATTAAATACACACTACAATGACAATAGTTTAAAGCGATTTGAAGCATGTTTTATATTTATTTATTTGGGGGGGGGCAGAGCTTTGTGACGTCATATTTGAGGGGGGGTCTGACTTTTTGTGACGCCGTGTAACGAGGGGGGGGGGGGTCAAAAATCGTCTAAAATCGCGTGACGTCATTTATGGACGACCCCTAACCATTATACCATGGCAGCATCTCTCACACTACTTGGTACCTAGATTAAATTAATTGGCACATTAAGATGTATTAATGTCGAGTTATATCAGGAATTACCGTTGCCGTTCGCATAAAAATGACAAGGGATTTGTCCACAAGTTGACTGCCGATGCGCACGTTATGAGGATCCCCTAACAAAGGAGACTTGATGTCCCGATGGGCTCTTACCCTGGTGAAATTAAGTGGCACTGTGTTTTGTGATTGTAACAGTGGCGATTTTGTTGCAATATTATGGAATAACCGTATGATTAGCGAGTCTACAAAATACTGGATTGTTTCTGATGTCACTAATCATGATTGTTGATAAAACTCAACTGTGTCTAGACTTCATACATAATTGAAATAATATATAAAGCATATTTTACATCAAAATCATGAATGACAAATGCCCACATGCATATTCTCTAAGCATCAACGAAGAGGGACATGTTATCCTTCAAAAACGTTTATCTAAATCTACACGTTCATTGTTTTTATAGAGATATAGCAAAATAACATTAAAATAGCATAGTTAAATTATATACTTTAATATTATAGGTATAATATTCCTTTTTGAAAGACCTGAGTGAAATTGTTGCCATGTTTACATGCCAAGGATTGCTATACCGGGAAGCCTTCATCTAGTACTGGATTTACAAAGTGTAACCCAATTATCATTATTAATATCCAAATATTCTCACTAATGTCCTGCAACTGAATTTTGACTTCCCAGGGTATTCCCATCCAAAACTTTGCACTTATAGATTCCATGAAGACTTTTTGTGTCTCCTTAATGGCAACAGAATGATTTTTGGAGGAGGAAAAAGGTTTCAAAGATTTTAAAATCTATATATATATCCACTGCTGTCAGAGCGGGGAAAGGTGCAATCATCGTGACAGTCGGCGCTGAATCACAAGACCCGTGATGCCGCACGCAATAACCTCCGTGTGATGTCGCGAATACGGTGTTACAATTGGGTGCTAGGCCTTTGAAAGTATTGTTTTTCACGTGCAGTTGCATGTCGAGAATGTCAAGCGCGTTCAAGTGGTCACTAAATGTGTTTGAGTGAAACATGTTCTCCTGCCACCGTTAGCCGGGCATTTCTTTGCTGCAGATTGCACCGGGCTTATCTGGTAATAGTTTTGCGATAACGACAAAATGATGGTTGTTAACATTGACATTCTCCTTCGGCGTTCAGCCCAACGTTTGTCTTTAAAAAAATAAATATTCCGGGTAGTCGTGAGGTAGGGGAGTTGGTGGGATAGTTGGTGGGCCGGGTAAAGTTGGCATGGAACATTGGCATACACAAAGACCCCTATGAGAGCTCGCATCTGCCCAAGCACAGAGCTATTACTGTGGATTGGCTCTCTGGCTTTGTCTCCATGGTTGGAAAGCCTGCAGCATAATGTTCCTAAATGCCAAGAAGCATCAGCAAATGTAGTCTTATCCAATGTTACATGGGGACTATAGTGTGGACAGCACATATATTTGCAACTCCATTGACCTGAAGGTTGCCTATTATTAGAAGGCTTCATTTTTAAGGTCACGGGGTTCAGTGGGTTGTGAAATTTGGGATTAGTGAGCATTTTGAGCAAATCGTTCACCGTGTGAGTAAAACGGCATAGCAACGCTTTTAATAGAAAAAAATAAATAAACTGGTTGTTTGAGTGTTTTAAAATTGGTGTGAGAAATATCTCATATTAACAAAGGTGGCAAAGACACAAATGTTGCACTTAAACAATATGGAACTAAATACCACCTTTGTTGATATATCAACACAATTGTCAACAACACTGCTTGAAGAAAGATAATTGAAATGTAACATCTGCTATGAAGAAGGACTTTTACCTGAAACGTCACGTATCTTTTTTTTCTTCCGATTAATTATGCTCGCGCACGACTACAGGCATAGCATCGGCAAACAATGTGTTGTTGATAAATGGTTAAACGAATGGTGGAGAATGTTTGAGAAAATCGGAATCGCGCGTGTCGTGATAAAGAATTAAGACGGCTAATCCCAAAGTTCAAGAAACCCCTCCCCGTGAATGTCAAAGACTTGCGAGATATCACCCTAAGTGACGACGCAGCATTGGTGAGATTGTCTTTCTTAGCGAAATCGTTGTTCTATCTCCGTTGTCCTCGGCCACTGGTGCCTTTTTCGTGGTAGGTTACAGGAGAACACCATTACAAAGTGCACTCCTTATCGTGGTTGAAATGGGTGAAGTTAACCGAATGTGTCATTACAGATACTGTGTAATGGTTACTTCGCCTGCAATGGTTTATGAATGTTGCCCGTTCTCTCCTGCCCCCCGCCCCCCTCCGTGCACCATTTCTGCTGCTCACTCATACAATGAATGAGTGAATGCTTTCTTTGCTTCTTTTTGACATTTACTCATCCTATGTCTGCTGACCCTATGTAAACGCAATTAATAAAGCCAACATTTCTCCCAGTTGAACTGTTGTGTTGATACTCGCGAGAAATTGTACAAAATTAATGCTGAACACTGTATCTCGGTGTGCTCAGGATTCGGAGGAGGAGGAGGAAGAACATGAGATTAATTCTCCGCGGATCGAGCCGACGTTTAAGCAAGACTCCGCGTTTGGATTCTCTGTGGATAAAAATCACTCCGCGATTCACATCCCAACTGACATTTACAAAGCCTGTGAGTATGAAGTTGCAAGTTTCCGTAATGTCCTGTCATTAATATTACATGGATAGTGGCCTTTTAAGTAAAATGCATTTTGGTATATATTTTTTCCCTTTCTTTTTAGGTGTTTAAAGAGTCGTGAAATATACATTGTAAGGTGTGGCCCAATTTAGCCTAGATCGTTTAAAAATGCAATATTTTTCAAAAAAGCTCATTGTTTTCATTGTACCGATGGCCTTTATTTAACCGCATTTTACAGTCTTGAAATGTAATCGATATTGAACAACTTAAATTCATATTCTACTAAATTATTATAAATGCAAATCTTTTATAATAAATGGACATCTTAAGGTACTTGATAAGGGTAAACATTGTTATAATTGGATGGCATTTTTTTACATATATAATTTTTTATGATACTTGATTTGCATTTTACACCAAATATTTACATTAAATTCTGCAACACAAACATATATTTTCTTTACACATTTCAGCAACTTTCCATTTTTAAGTATAAATTTATTATTTTTGTTTCGAAAAGACTCTGTCTGAATCACATTAACTACATTGCAAGTGTTCATTTTATTTTATTTCAAGCACCCTAAATCAAATCTATTTTTAAAGAAGAGTAATGTGTGCAATTCGGCTAGCATATTCACTGCGGATTCTTTTCATTTGCATGTGGCTTGTGGCTTATCACGCACGTTCCAAACACTAAGATGCAATTTTCTACACCAGTGATTTGCAAAACAGCAAGAGTCATAATGAAGTGCCGAGCACCAGCATGTCCTGGCTATCATCTCTCATAAACACTATGCTGCCGTTTAAAACCCAATGCTTTTTTAACCTTGCACACAAACATATTTTTGTAGCGTACAACTTTTATCTTCGTCGTGCACGCTCATGGCATTTACATTGAAAAGTCTATATGACGGTGCAGTTAAATTTACGGAATATCATAGCATAGATTTAGTATGCAACTTACGTGGTGTGTGCTGTGTATGAAGAGCATCTGTGGCTTTACGCCCTATATGTATGTATGTTGAACTTCTTTCGCACCATACATAGTCAACCGTTCTAATTGGAGGTGTGCGAAATATATGTTATCATAATCAACTTTGGTCAATCTGCTGCTGAATGAAATCTTGCCCTCGCGGCTAACTTTCACGATCATTTGTCTTTTGCCTGCACAAGAACTGCTTTTATTGCTCCATCTCCTCGAAGGACATCCTATTCGACGGATATCCCCATCATTGGCTGTCACTCAATTATTATTCTTGACCATATGCCACCATCCATTCTCGCGACCAAGATGCACCATCTAGAGTGGACATAATTCTGCATCTAAATGCACTGTAATACTATTACTTTCACAGTACTTATAATTACTGTGAAATTACTGTGAAAGTCAAATGGTGTCGTTTATTTTAAGAAGTTGTTGTCTTTGCGATATTTGACTACTGGAACAAAAAATGTGAAATCCTCGTGTTATCGTAGTCCCATAGTTGGTACCGTTTGGCCTGTATGATCCTAGGCATTAAACGATGTGTCAATTTGTTGATTAAAATATATTCTTACACTCACGCCACATTCTTCTCATCAGGTGTGTGAGAGAACAAGTAATTTAGATGTATGCAAATATCATGCAAATTACACCTTTGACCAAATCAGTTGCAATGCATCCTATCTCATGCACATATGGAAATTATATTCGATGTTACCTTTAGGCTAGTAAGATTGACTCACACTACCAAAGAGAGTAACCTATAACAATATAGAGAGAGAATAGAAACAAGACCGTTAAAACGAGACGAAAAAATCGATCATTGAGGTCATCGAATCGCTGGGGGGTTCAATATATATATTCCTAGGACTGAGTTTACCCCAGTGACTATTTTGTCTTATCCATACCGTGTTCAACCAATCGACCGCAGGTTTCTCTACGCGCTGCTCAACTTCATAATTCCCAAGTTCTTAAAACCTTGCTCAATTCAACAGAAAAATTAACGATTTTCAATAACTCCTTTAAATGTGGTGTATATTGCTGGCTGCTTGGCATGTTGAGCCTTTGGGCTCTGTGCTGGGGTGCTGTGAATTTTTTTTTATAAAACACAACGCTCTGCCTAGCAAAACAAAACCAAAATTGGGCTTTGGCCCGTAGATATTCATTTCTGAAAACCGTTCCCAACACGCCGGCGGTGTGCGGACGAGAAGCGGCACACAGGAGCCCCTGCAGCCTGCCCAGCAAGGTCTGTCGAGCATGCATGCAGACTCTTACCAACACCCACGCGAGAGGGTGACAAATGGTCCCCCCCTCGGTTGTGTGGCGTTGACTTGCCAGCGTTCCAGGCGAGTGCTGACCTACATAAATAGTTCTCAATTAGGCAGCCTCAGCAGCAGCAGTAGCAGCGGCACGCGTCGCGGGGTATGTGTGTCGAGCACACGCCGCGGTTAACACCCCGCGTATTTTGAGCGCAGCATCGTGGACCGCGCAAAGGTTCGCATGTTTGCACGCTGGGTTGTAGCTTTTCAAAGGGGTAAATACATCACCCCGCGCCACCGAAAAAATTTCGGGCTGGAATGCAACTTTATTTTAAAAAGTTGCATACTTATTTTCTAATCGCAGCTATTTAATTCTATTATTCTCACGTGATGAAATTTACTGCAGAATTTCTTCGTCGAATACCTGCTTGTTTTATTTTCGCCTTTCATACCATTACATTTTTTAAATGTATTGCTCCAGTTAGGGGCAATTAGCTGAGTGGCAGACAAAAAGTGCACATGGTGTGTCTTCATCTATGGCCAAGTCGTGTGAGCTAACATCAGTCAGTGGCCACAATGCATGACTGCTCACCACCACTCTTTCCCTTGATGAGCAGTGAAATGGGGCACCCAGTAAGATTATAGTTTTTTTATGGTGGGCCTGCATTTCCATAATGACAAAGTTGTTTGTCCACATATAAGGAAACAGGTTGAACCCATTCATAGGCATTGGCCATACAGTTTTATTTTTAATTGAACTGCACAAATGTATGGTGAATTGAGTAGTATGAGTTGACTGTGTTTATTGGAGCACCAGTGCTTGGGAGTGTATAATATTGGTAGGGTAAATTTATGGGTTGATGTATTTACGTGCATTTCTGAGCAGTAGCTTTTGGCGACATGTGGCGTGAACACACTGGTTAAAGTTGTGCTGGCTCAATTTGGTTCACATTATGGATACAAAGTGCCCTCACCTCTGTTAACAGAGTGATTATTTAATTTTTAAAAAATCTAAAGATAATACAAACATTCTGTTGGTGCATGTATGTTAAATGTAGCTTTTCACTTGGATTCTATAGTTTTTCACAAATGTACTATTTTTTTTATTACAAACTTTTATTGAATTCGCCCTGTTGTTCGTTGAGGAATCTTTGACGCTTAATATCTTGGGATCTACGAAGCCTCCGAGCTGGAATGTTATACGCAGACTCGCCGCTTCGTGTGACAATTCAAGAATTCATTTTTAAAAAAACGGCCTAGGTCCTGCCCATTGTGGTCCGATTCGTATTTTTTGAATTTTATACTAATTAACAATCGTACCTTTTACTAATTCATAATGGTATATTTAACTAATTCATAATCGTACATTTTACTAATTGATAATCGTATATTTGACTGATTAATAATCCTAAATTTTACTAATTAACAATCGTGCACTTTACTAATTAATATTCGTATATTTTACTCATTAATAATTATAATCGTAGATTCCACCCCCCCCCCCCTTTTTTTAAATCACGAATGGTCGTGCCTGCCGACGTCTGGCAAACGTGTGGCCCAATCACAGCGGCTGTTGCTGGCCAGCCTCTGACCAATGAGCATCGCGCTTCTATCACCGCTCGTCATGGCGCCGGAGCGGCCGCTGTTTCTCTTTAGCGCAAGAGCAACAAGTACACCGAAAAAAAACTATTATTAGGCAATAAAAACAAGATTTTCAATGCACACACACTTTTATTTGCACTCAAAAGTAGAAAATATATTTTTTTTTACCACGGAATTAGTAAAATTTTATGTGCTCAATAAAAGGTGATATGTTTAATTTTATTTATGCAAGCCCCCCACTTGTATTGAGCTCATGTAGTTTCATTAAGTCCTGGGTCAAAATAATGTATCTTCTACTTTTAAGTGCAAATAAAGGTGTGTGCGTTGAATAGCTTGTGTTATTTTTTTACCCATTTTTTTAAAATGTTGCGACAATCTGAATACACATTTACACCTGCCAATTTTTCAACATGCAAAAATCTTCTTTCTCGGATTTGGATACATTTAAAAATTTAAGCTCATGGAATATTCATTCATCGGCACCTATAGATGGTACTTGTGAATTTAATAGTCTGGTTTTTTCTGTTCATTCAGTTTGCGCCTTTGTCATTGAAAAACTGCAGCGGCGAGTTGCAAGGTAAATTGCTGTTGCCGCTGCACTGTGCAGATGCAGTGACGGTGGAGCACTGCAATGATTGAAAGAGCTGGCTGCACGTTTATTTTGATTGATTCTCAGTAAGTGGCATACATTTGCAATAATGGAATAAATAAGGGAGGTTTTCACCGGGAGACAACGTTAAACCATGCAGAATGCAATATCCCATCACAAGGGCAATGCCGTGAAAAGTTTACGCGCCTTCTGTGACAATGTTCACATTTATATATGTCCTTCCACATGGCAGCTTACAAAAAATGAATTGACTTGTGTTATTGCGATACTCATGTTGTAGGAACAATAACATCCACGGGCGAATGAACGTGTAAGACATATAAACAAAATGAGCAAACAGTACATGGCATTTCAAACAAGATAATGCAAGGCAAAAGGATCGTAAAATAATTAGTCATGTTCACATGGAAATAAGTGCTCCAGCTTGATATTACTCATTTAGATTTATCAATGGCATATGCAGTTTAACCATAATGCACATTCTGTGCAGCTGGCTATAGTTGCCTGCCTGAATCATCAGAAAGTCCACATTGAGATGACA